GCGAATAGTGAGCGAACGTTGGTGCTGACCAATGGTGGCACAGTCATCTTGGCAGGAGGTGTGCAAGTAAGTGCAGTCTACCATCCGGCCCGTCGGCGTTTTTTGATCAGAGGGCTTTTATGACTCTCACCAAGCAAATAATCAGTGGGTAGCACAGAATATACAGTTTTTAGTCGTAGCATGTCTTGACGAGAATATTTGTAGAACCTGCTCATGAGTAGCACCGTTATATGGATGAGTTAAACGATAAATTCCAACGTGACGAACAAGCACGTGAGTGTAGCGCAGCCAATCGAAAGGCGCGCGCGAGCGTCTTGCGTCTTGCATACTTTTTGTCAAAAACAAAACAAAGCAATTTACAAACCATTATTTTTACATCCTATCGGCTATTCTGTGTTCATGTCTTTTGGTTTTTATATAATCGTGCAATTCTTTTACTCTCCCGAAAATGGTTTTTCAACGTCAAACATTCCCACTTCTACTTTACATATCTCAGACAATGCCAGATAGTATGAATGAACTGTTACTAAGCGTGTCTCGAGTTCGCCAAAGTCGACGTTGGGCCGTGTTACTCTACTCCGGTGGGAAATTTGCCGGTGGCATATTTGACGGGTATGTCTCTTTACTGATTAGTCAGTCCGGAGGTATGGTTTATCCCTTTTTTCCTCATTGGTTTTATTTTGGTGAGAAAAGTTCAATATTGATAGATTCTGTTTCGTTACTCATGCCGGACTTATGTCTAGCCCGTTAATTTCATTAGATCCGACCTCACGCGGCCCGTCGTCAGTCTCTGTTAAAAGTGCTCAAGGCTGTGATTTAATTTCATCCATTTAATTGCTTTTCCATCAGTGCTCGTAGACCTTGTCCCCCTCTCCACCCCTCTCTCGAGCCTAAAATCTGAAAGCTTCGCACAGTTGCCAGTTATTTGAGGTGAGTCCAGATCACTTGTACTGTCCGGTTTGTGTAAAAGATACAATGGAATAGCCGCGGCAACGAGCAGCAACAAGGGCAACGATGATAAAAGAAAAATATTCTTTTGGCAATCCTCTTGAACGGAAGCAATTCCCAAGGTGAATGTGAGAAATAATGTGAATGATTGTGAGCGTAGTAAACAATTTGTTTAGTTGCATCAGAGACACAGGCACTTCCCTGATTCTTAACAATCACCAAGCAACAAGAATCAGAAGACCTAGGAAACTGAGCTTGTCCGCACAACCAGGAACCAGTGAAACGGAGCGGTAGAACCTGTTCGCATATTAAGGTTTTGTGCAATCGCGGTGGTCGCTTGTAGAAGGAAACTTGGTACTTTTGTTGTGATGTACTACTCACATTTGTGAGCAGTATGTTTGGAATACGCAAAATGGTGTGATTGGCAGTTTTTCACTACGGTCAGAAATAAACAAGACATCCTGGAGCGAATCCGTATATTCGAAATTGTAACTACGGGTAATGCATATCTACGGCCGCACTGTTTCATCAATTAAGGCCTACTGGCTTATCGAAAGTATAATTGATCTATCTGTTCCAGATGAGGCGCTCCAATATATGTAACTCAATTTACCCATGCTTGCTGTTTTGGATAGAAAACCGTCCTAATCCCTTGCGTTGGACACTTTGATGAATCGTGTAGTGAGTTTAACCAACAACTGTCTGGCGTATTCTGGCAAATTTCAAATGCCGGTTACTTTTTAGCGCCAATTTGGTTTCCCTTTAACACTGATGAATTTGGGAACTTTTCTCAACTTTTCTCAATCAGACCAATGTTTGTTTTCTCACTTTTACTTCTCCATTCCCTCGAAACAACAACAACAACAACAACCGAAGCTTGAATGAAGTTGTGCACAAGACACTGCACCACTACACTGTCCGTGCGAAACAGGGAGGCGGTCAGTCCGCTTACGATGCATCTAACGGTGGTATGGGTGGTGCAAAATCTGCCGGTGCCAGTCTACGACGACATGGTGAGATGGCGATTCGTGCGGTAGGTCTGATGTATGAATGGCACTTACCTCGCTTTTCGCCTTTCCTTCTGGTTGTTGCTCTCGGGCATTGGCTGCAACCCGAGAATAAGCCTCCGAAAGCCTCAGTACTATCACAGGGATGAATGTCTCAGGTTGTGGCCAGTCACCCTTCCCTTGCACCTGAAGAAATACTCCCATACTATCAAGCGTCTTAAAAAGCCCCCTACTGAGGAAGCCCTACTCACTGTCTTCTCGTGGCGCAGGTGTTTTCCCATCAAAGTGAGGACGCAAATCTAATATCCGGGGCTATAACCGGGTTGATGTACTACTGGTAATTCACCTAGGAGAGTTGACCAAAATCCTGATTCCAAAACAATAGGAGGCGTACGAATCACATACACCTTCCCGATTGTGGTTACCGACTAAATTGGTCATCGTGGTTTATTGGGCACCTTGGACTTTTGACCACATCCCAAGGGCGCGTGATCCGATGTACTGGACATGGGCCATCAATGGATTGCGGTTTTCACACACCACCCTACTGCCCTGTGTGTTAGGCTTTGGCTAACCGAAGGCTCCGGTTGTGGATTCCTCAAGAAAATTGACCTGCCTTGGTGTGGGTAACCTGGCAGTATTCGGCATACAGCAAATCGTGAAGCGTATTTCTCTTTATAAAGATTATTGTACCATGATTTTTTTAGCACACGGTCTGACCTCAGACGTGATATACATATACATATATATATATGTATATATATATATACATATACAAATACATATACAAATACATATACAAATACATATACAAATACTTGGTGGTGCAAGGATTGGATGGTCAGTCACAATCCCAGAGACCCACCTTTCGACCGCGGTGAAACTCGTTGGTCCGCGTTTTCTTTAGACCAATGTAATTCATCTGTATCTGCACTAAGTACCAAATTGGCACTAAAAATCTGCTTATGTGCAACACAAATGCGCCCCCTGTTGTTCGTGTTGTTGTTGGTGGTGGTAGTGTTCCAACTAGGATGTCGAGCAGACCGATGAAAAAAGACTCAGGTAATTTATCGCACGTTTTGACAAAATATCGCTAAATGTACCGATTTTGTTGGTCAAAGTTGTGGGGAAAGTAGGCTAGTTCAGAGTCCGTGTGATTTATTTTCAGCTAACCGATGTTTTCGGAAAAACCGTCAAAACTAAAAAGGTTTATTCGTTTTAATTTTTAACACTTGATTATTTCATTCCATTTTCGGTTTATCCGATACTGATTTCACACTTTGTTTGGTTTCCAATCCGCATTTTCTGTTTCCTCCAACAGGAGATTAGCCAGTTGCTACATGGTCGTTGGAGGTCTCATCTACAGGCATGCCAGTTCATCTTGGTTTGGTCACCCAAAGTACATCGGAATATTTTTTTCAATCCCCCCGTAACNCCGCAGCCGCATCGTCAGACAATTCGCAACTGGATCCGGCATTGTTGTCCTGCCCGGAACCAGACAAATTTGCTGCCGCCGCGTGCCAGGCCGGTCTTGGCATGACGGCTGACGATGTCCGTGTACGTCGTATACCCTGTCGAACCAATGAGATCACATACAGTCACGTCAAAGAATTGCATAAGGAATTGTCCTCATTTTATGTGTACGGTAAGATTGTCGATTGTTGTCCCCCTCATCCTCCTCCTCCTGCTCCGCCTTTATCGTTATTATTGTTGAACCGTCAGACAAAATTGTTGCCCACAGTATTCCATCTTTTCTCTGTGGTTCCTCTAATAATAACCCAGTTTCTTTTCATTGAGAATCGGCCCGTTAAATCAGCTGGCAAATTAACAATGACTGGACCAAAAATTTTAAACTGGCACCAGAATGGAACCAATAAGTAAATACACAAACAGTTCCCCCGCTCAGGTTAGTATACTACTACATGGTTAGATAGCAGAGATGGATGGTGAAAGAGTAGGAATAAATTCTCAGCGTATTCTGCAAACGCGATCACTACGGACCGAGATTGATGTGTGTATTGTACGAAGAGTTATACTGTTTCAACCTAGACCGTAATACACGGTCATCGTGGGACTGTATCAAAGTCGGTCTTATCGGTCACTGGGGGAAAAACACCTAGCAAATCAGTTCACCATTGGGTCTATACGAGCGCGAACGTTCTGCCCACAGTGAGGGTTTTTCGTGAAAACAACAACAACCACCACCACCGTCATTATCACCATACAATGATCTACAGGGAAGTGAGCTTCGTTGATCGCTGCCAAACTCGTAATGCAAATGCATTGGAGTTTGATGGACGGATACTGCTCGGGTGTCCAGCCACCAAGCAGGAAAACAATCGTAATGGTTGGATTTACCGATTTCGTAAACTATGCAAATTGGATCACTGTAAGTCGAAATAAAAGTTTTTGAGAATTTGTTCACCGTAGAATAAAATGTGAACTTCGCTGAGTATTGGGAATGTGGGGATAGCCATCATGACGTGACTGCACCTTGACGTGGTGTGATAGCGTGCGCGCGCCTCCATGATCCTGCGAGTTATTCAGAAGAGCTCTGCACAGCCACAGATCCAATTATGCCTGAAAAGTCAACGGGTAGAGGCCAGACGAAGCTCAGTCTCAAAAAACCCGCTGTTTGGGCATCTGGCATCCTTCAACTATCTACCCTCGCCCACGGAGAGATCACTTCAGTGAATAAACACGGGAAAGAGCAGTTTACCCGTCCTAAATCCCCGGCTAAATGGAGATACGCGCGGGGTCTCTAGGGCTTCCTCCCGACGACGGTAGGACAAATTTTCGTTGAACGGTTACCGCCCACCCGAGCTGAGCAGCCCCCATCTAATGAAGCGCTTTCCTGTGATTATTCCTCTTGTCTCATTGCGTGCAGAAGACTAAGTATCGGTCCCAAACAGAAGATCTTCATTCAACACACCAGTGAACAACACAGATTTACAAGAAGTGTGACAGGTCCTCTTGTGAAAACCACAGAGGAATTCGTTTAATTAAAATTGCCTATAAACTTCTCGCCGGGATCATACTCTGTCGATTGTCTGCAGCACGTAAAGAGTACACATGTGAGAACCAGGCTGGTTTTGGACCTGGTCGAGGTTGTATCGACCACATCTTTACTCTTCGTCAAATCCTAGAACACAGACACTCTTTTAGTAGACCCACCATTTCCATCTTCTTCGACCTGAAAGCGGCTTCAATTCAGTCGACCGCTCTAAACTCTGGCACTGCCTTTCCCTGAAGGGTTTGCCCGAGAAGTTTCTTTCAATATTACAATCCCTCTATAATAATAGCCGAAGCTGAGTCCGAGCTTACGGCACCTTTTCGCCCTAGTTCACCAAAGAAAGTGGTGTTCGACAGGGTTGCCCTCTCTCTCCTTTTCTATTTACCTTTGTTATAGATTTAATTCTTGAAACAGTCCTATCCTCAAGTCAAGTCAAGTCAAGTATTTTTTTCAAGTCGTGCGGAGATAGCGGCATCGATTTACTCCCATGTGACAGACTGTCTGATCTAGAGTATGCAGACGGCATTGTGCTACTAAGTGAAGATTCAGGTAAGTTGCAAGCTTTTCTGGATAATTTGAGTGCTAGTGTAGCCATATTCGGTGTGCGTTTTGCACCTTCAAAGTGTAAAATGCTGGTCCAACATTGGGTTGATCCAGCGCCCAGTCTCACCCTAACTGGGGAAGTAGTAGAGGAAGTAAAGAAATTTTGCTATCTAGGCAGCTATATCTCACCCGGCGGATGCATCACAGATAAAGTGTCGGCGCGCATACAAAAGGCTCGATTGGCATTTACCAACTTGAGACATCTGTGGCGCCGTCGCGACATCCGGTTGTCTGTGAAGGGTCGAGTGTATGCTGCAGCAGTTCAGTCAGTCCCGCTCTACGGTGCAGAGACTTGGCCATTACGGGAACAGGATAAAAATAGATTGTCGGTGCTCGAACGCCGCTGTCTAGCACTGCACGTGTCTGGTGGGGAACCGGACTAGCAATGCTGAGGTTAGGCGTAGAGTTTTAGGCAGTCGTGGTTGTCCACTGGAGCAAGTGATCGACCTCCATAGATTACGCTGGTTGGGACATGTGCTACGCATTTCACCAGATAGGTTGCCACGGCGAACGATGTTTGCCAAGGCTGGTAGCGGTTGGAAAAAATGAGGGGCGGTTAAGCTAAGACCCGGCATGAGGGTATGAAAACCCTAACCAGGAGACTAGGTCACATAGGTCCCGTTAGGCTCCCTGGCTGGGGACCTCGGGATGATGGTCACCGATGGTTAGGTACACTGAGTGATATGGCTGAGTGTCGCAAACAGTGGCGCTCGTGCATCCACTCGTTAGTTTCCTAACACCACTCTATACGTATTCCCCATCTCACTCTATATGTGTTCCCCATCTTCCGCTTGAATTTGCTTCGACATTCCAATTTTCATTTCGCTCTTTTATCCAAATGGGCAACCAAAAGACAGCAACCAAGACCGTCGCATGAAAGTGCATGGTTAATGGTTGTGAAAACTGAAACTGAACCATTATCCACAAACAGATCATTAGGTCATGATCAATAACGCAAAGGGGGAAACGAATAATCCTCGTTCAACCGACTTGTGTGGTTCCCTACTTCAACTCTTGGGGTTTAGGTTGCTGGTTTCCATGATTGAACAACAGCCTCCCTCCCACCAACTGTCCATATGATCTACCCT